TTGAACTCTTTTCTCAAGTTTTGTATATACACTTGACTTAAACTGTTCCTCAACCAGACCAAGCTCATGTTGGCTTAAATCAATTTGAGTGGAAAGTTGGTTAAAAGAATTTTTTGTGCTTGCCAAAGAGTCGATTTTACTTTTATAACCATTATAAGTTGCCAAAGCTTGATCGAGTTTGATTCTGGTGTTGTTTAGTAAGGAAAGCTGTTCCAGTATGCCAGAATTACTTGGCTTACTTCCTCCTTGTAAAGTACCAGACGGATCATAAACATCACCATCAAGTGTAACTGACTTGAGCCTCACTGAATTATGAAAGGTGACAGTCTTGGCTGTATTTGCGTCTAAATAAATATTGTATAAAAAGTTTAATTTTAAAGTTATTGTTATAGGTAGTTAATATATGTATAATGATAAAAAACCTTGGCAAATAAGTGTATTTCCGAATACAAAAGCCATTGCAGCTTCAACATCTTTATCATATCCAACAAAACTTAGTGCAATATCAGTTTTTCCAGGAGCTAAACTTTTTGCAGTTTTAATAACATTTTCAGAAGCTTTATATGGACGTATTTTATTCAGCGGAATAATCGTAACTCTTTTCTTAAGCATGCCTTTATCAAGTAGCTTGGCACCAGTTGAGTCTGTGTCAACCACAACCTGTAAAAATATTCATAGTGATTAAACAATGATCATGAAAATATATAAAGCTATATTCAGGAATTACATTGTAAAGTCTTCCGCCAGCACACACTTCCAAAGCCTGTGATGCATGAATAGCTTTTTCATCAAGTTTGATCAATTGTGCAATTGACCCTTTCACTTTATTTCTGTCAAACCCTGGTTCAGGATCAGTGTAATTAAGTTTGACGCTTGACAAAGCAGAAGATATTCTGCGATCCTCCTATAAAAATAAAAAGATTTAATATAAAAAATAATAAATTTTGTTTTTTAAAGAAAAAGCTTTAGAATATTTCTTACATTTTGAATGGACTCAATTTCTGCTAGTTTTGATTGTGCTAATGAAGATAACTCTTGTACAGCTTTTTGATTATAATCCAAAGAATCTCTCTTTTTCTGGTTTAATAAAAAGTTTTAGTTGACATAAATTAAAATGTTTTGTAGTCACTTACTGTTAAAGTTTCAATCTTCAGCTTTAAAGCTGATTTTTTGTCAAGTAAAGTTTGGATTTCTTTGTGGGCAGCCTTCATCTTCGAACTTATCTCTGATTTTTCACTTGAAAGCATTTTCACTTTAATTATGTTTTGGTCAATAATAATCTTGGCATTTGCAAAAGAATCTTTGGCCTCTAACAAAAAAGAAATCATTTCAACATAGAGTCAGTAAAATTGCAAAAGCATCTAAAATAAAAGTTACGCTCTTACCTTGTAATTGTTGAAGAAACCCACCATCAAGGTTTTCTTCAGTTGTGACACCTGTGGTTAAAGATTGCACAAGTTGGCTAAGTTGCTTCATTTGTAAAAGTTGTGAATCCAATTCGGATTTCTTTTCTTCATACTTTGACTGGCACATATTATATTTGGATTCGTATTCAACAAACGATTTTTCAGCCTAATCGTGAGGGAAAATAAGAAAATGAGTTTGGAAATAATAGTTAGTTATGTATATAGGAAAAATGTGAAAAAAATTACATTTTTTATCGAATTTAAAAGCTCCAATCCCAGATTCTTTTCCTCTGTGAGTGATTTTTCTGAAATATCAAGTTTAGTTTTGATTTTTACCATTTGCTTGGACAAATCATCCATTTCGAGTTGCTTTTGATGCAATTCATTATTCTTTGAGATATCCTAAATCATTTTTTGAGAATAGTTGACAAACTGGGTTAATAATTCAAAAAATTAAAAGGAAAACAAAGATTGTTAGTTTTGCTTCTTACTTTTTTAATTTTAAGAGTAATTTCATCCTTGCTTTTGGAAATGTTAGAGGTTTCATTATTCAACTCTTCAAGTCGTTCACAATAATTTCGGAGATTGATGCTATTAGATTCGGTGATATTCTGATTTGCCATTATCTTTTCCTGAATAAATAACAAAATACATGGTAAATAAAATATTCATAACTATCAGAAATTCTAGTTAAAAATTAAAAAAATACCTCTGTTTTTGTATATTCGTAAGCGCTCACAAGTCTTTGAAGCCTATCTGATTCTGTACTTAGTTTTTGGTATTCCAAGAAACCTTGTTTTTCAGCACGGAGCTTGTCAAACTTTGGGGTGATTTCTTCCTTCAAAATCTATTAAAAATAAAGATTAAACAGCCGTAAAGAATATATCTATAAGCAACCTAAATTTCAGTGTGAACAAAAATAAAAAACAATTACCACTTGTATTTCTTCAATTTTTTTTTCTTTTTTAGCTATAGTTTTTATAGCCTTGTCCTTTCTCTCCTCAAACATTCTTGTGCCAGCCGCTTCCTCTATCATTGAGAGAATTTCTTTAGGTTGCATATTAAGAACCTGTGTTATTTTTCCTTGCATAATAAGAAAGTGAGGATTGTTTATGTTCAGTTGTACAGCTTGTAACATATTTGCAACAGCTTGTTCTTGTGCATTATGTCCATTGATCATGTATTTACTTTTTCCACCAATCATGATCTATTTTTTAATTTTTATAATAGATTGAGTTTTCACATTAGCCTCGAGTAAAAGATAAATAATAAAATGCTTTTAATTATAACTCATACCTGGCGGGTGAGATTTATTTGATGATAAGTTTCATAACCAGGAGGACTATTCTTTTTATCAATGTTGTTGAACACTACAGTAACAGATGCTTTGGTAATTCCTGCTTGTCCTTTTTTATAGATCAGATCAATGATATTGTTTGAACGAAGCTAAGAAGTAATAATAGAAAAGTTGAATTATATAAAATAAACACAAGCTAGAGTATATAATGAATGAAATATTACCAATTTATAATTTTTGATTCCCAAAACAAAACAAAATGCATCAAGAACATTGGATTTTCCGGAACCATTCAAACCAGTGATCGCATTGAACTCTGGATCCCAACCTTTTATGTGGGTTCTAGATGCATAGGATTTAAAACCATCAATAATAAGCTCTTCTACATGCATTGTAAAATATTCTGAAAGAGTAATGTTGAAAAAAAATGAGAATTAAAAGAAAAGCTATTTGTTTACAAAAAATAAGTGTAAACATATACAGCCTATTAAAGTATAGAATTTTGATTAAATCATAGCCAATGACTAATTCTTAAATTCTTTAATTTTTCACCCATGTTTTTGAATCTTTTTTCTTTGTATAATTATACCTCGAAATAGTTATAGACTCCAATTTTATATTATTCAGTGAGTCATATACATGAGTCTGGTTTACGGAAATTTAAAAATCTACAACTTTGAAGTCAATCAGACACTTATTTCGCGACAAAGTGATATAAAAACCCATACAAAATAGTGTTTTTTGATATTTGGAATTAAATTTTTTTTAAAAATATGAAACAAATATTGAAATCGAGAAAATTGTGATCCGCAGCACTGATGTGTTTCGTTATTTCAATCTTATCATTAATGTAGTCTATGACTTGAACGCTTAGCAGTTGATTCGATAGTAAAAATATTTAAACCTCGCAATTCCAACAACTCGAGATTAGAAATGTCAAACCCAGAGTTCGTAAAGGAATACAAGGTTGTTTTTTTTGGTGGACGAAGTAAGTATTCCATATTATTTCTCTAAACCCGCCTATAGTGTCTTGTTTTTATTGGTTCTTATTTTAAGGTGTTGGGAAATCAGCCCTTGCTATTCTATTCATTTTTTCGCATTTTATTGATCAACACAATTCATCTGCTGGAGGTAAAGTCTTTTATTTTGAATTTAAAAATGTTTTAACAAAACCCGTATAGATGAGTACAGAAAACAGTGTATGTAGATGAGGAAACTGCAATGCTTGGTGTCTTGGATAGTACAGGTCAAGAAGAATATGCGTATATTTATTTCCATTTTTGATGGATGAGTCTTTGCTAAAAAAATATTTTAAATAGCACTATGAGAGAGCAGTACATGTGTATGGGAGGAGAATCTCTTTTGGTTTACAATATAACATCATGTAGTTCATTTTAAGAAATACCCACAATTTTGCAAGAAATCCAAAGAATAAAGGGCTGCAATAACTTTCCGATAATTTTGTGTGCAAGTAAATGCAATTTTGATAACGAAAGACAAGTATCTACACAAGGTAAGACAATATATGGTTCAAAATTTTTTAATAAATAAATTTTGTAGAGGGTAAGGATGTGGCAAGATTATTTAGCTGTCTGTTTTTGGAAACTTCAGCAAAAACTAGATCAAATGTGGATAAAGCATTCTACATACTTGTTCGAGAAAACAATGAATAGGGAAGACTGAAAATTTGTGAAAATGTATTTATCTGTTCTGTAATTACAGTCCAACTTGAAAATTCTTTCTATATTAATGTTAACTCGATTCAACTTTAATAAAAATTTTAATAGCCCTAAATTTAACAGACCACTGCTAATTTACAAAGTCTCAGTTTGATAGAGTTATTATTGAAAGCAATGAAAAGAATTGTTTAATAACATATATTTGTTTGTTATAGATCTATCAACCAACAGGCGTAGTGTTTCTTATTTTCTGTTTAAGCTTTGAAGTTTGGTAGTATATTTAAAAGGTAAGTATACAATATACAACTCTATTGGTTTCAATAAAAATTTTCTAGGCTTTCGAATATTCAATATGAGTTAACAATCTTAAATTAATAAAATTAAGCGACTCTTCATGTTCTATTGTAGGTTTTTATAAAAGAATTTTTACAGTAAAGATTTCTTCACACAAAGACAAAAAACGGAGCTCATCAAATGGCCTCACTTAAGAAATATTTCTAAATAAAATATCAAATGGGTTTAGTAGTTCAAATACTTTAAATAAAATTAAATTGGGTTATCATTTAGGTATGGAAACACCTATTTGATATAGATACAATATCCTTCTCCACAAAAAAAGGGGTGTTGGCGCAATGGTAGCGCGTCCGCCTCCAGAAATGGATAAAGCGGAAGGCTGGGCGTTCGAGTCGCTCACGTCCCATTATTTTTTCCATGTGATTTCCACATGATTTTTTTGTATTTAATTGTTTTCTTTTTTTCAAATT